TTTGCAGCCTCTCTCTCCCTTCAAGTGTGTCCACCTCACCCCACATCTTAGTGTCATCAGCAAACTTGGACAGTGTGCTTTCCACCCCCCGTTGATGAAGATGTTAAACAGTGCGGGCCTGATGACCAAGCCCTGGGGTACCCCACTGCTCACATCTCACCAGGTTGAGTACAACCTGTCCACCACTATTCTCTGGGTGCGCCCCATCAGCCGATTGTTTTACCCATCCAACTGTGCAGGCATCAATGCCACAGTCGCTCAATTTATTGATGAGGATGGGGTGACAGTGTCAAAGGCCTTCTTAAAGTCTAGAAAGACTACGTCCATGGCAACACCATCGTCCAAGGATTTAGTTACTTGGTCATAAAAGGCAACCAGGCTGGTCAGGCAGGACCTGCCTTTGAAGTATCCATACTGATTGCCCCTAAGCATGATCTCCCCTGCTGCCTCCCCACAGATGTGCTCCTTGATGATTCTCTCCAAGATCTTCCTGAGCACTGAGGTGAGGCTTACAGGCCTATATTTACTTTGGTCCTCCTTCCTCCCCTTCTTGAAAATTGGGACCACATTAGCCAGTTTCCAATCCCCTGGCACCTGGCCAGATGCTCATACAGCTGGGCCAAGGACTCCACGATGACCCCTGCCAGCTCCCTCAACACCCTTGGGTGGAAGGCATCTGGATTTGCAAATTTAAAAATGTCTAGCCCTTCCAGAAGATCCCTAACTACAGCTGCACTGACTGAAGGCCTGACAGAGCTATCCCCAAGATTGTTCCTACCTCTGGTAGGCGGGATGTTCCGGTCCCTGTTCAAGAAAACACAGGCAAAGAAACTGTTAAAAATATCAGCTTTCTTGTCTGGTGTAGCCACAAGATTACCGTTTGTGTCTTGCAGGGGCCCTACATCGCCTGGTGCCCTCTTCTTGCTCCCAATGTACTTGAAAAAGGACTTTTTCTTGTCCTTAGTCCTGGACACTAACCTGAGTACCATCTCTGCCTTGGCCTTCCTAATAGCTCTTCTACACTCCTGGGCTAGCAAAGGTGTTTACATGGAGACAGGATCAAAAAGATCCCAAGCCACTTCAGTTGACTGAAAAGGAGCTGGGGGAGGGAGGCAGTGTTGAAACCAGCCCACAGAAATATGGCTACAGTAGAAAACTCCAGGAAACATGAATCAAGTCAGAGGGCAAATTCCCACAAGCTCTCTCAAGCAGATCACAAAAACAGGCACTGAAGGCAGGTTGTCTCCAGAGACATGAGGAGTTCTGAGCCAGGCACACATCAGCCATGAGACCATAGCAGTTGAAGATGAATTCAGGGGCAATGGCTCTTTGGTCAAAGCTGCAGGGTCAGGAGCTCCGGTCTCACTTGCAGATACTTTGCAGACATTTTGATACTTTGCTTTGCTTTCTGCACAGCTTCCATTTCCTAACTCTTACCTTTTGCTCTTGCTGGCAGAGCAGCTCAACACTTACAATAGCCCTTTTCCCAGTCATCTCCATTCCCTTTCCCCTACACAGCTGAGAAACCAGCACCGTCTGTCCTGAATAAATGGGTGGCTGTGTAGTGCCAGTTCTGTGGATTCTGGCAGCACAACCTGTCTTAAGGGTAAGTTCTATATTCTACTAGAAGACGCTAGGAAATAGGAGTCAGAAGACAGGACTTCCTGTGCTGTGACCCTGTGCCTCAGTATTCCTATCTGTAAAATGGGAATAACTTGCCACCCTCCCAAGCTGGTTGTGTAGGTCAATCCAAGCCTTGTATACAGTGCAATTCTGCAGGGGTCCAGAGGATGATGTGATTTCTACTATGACCTAATACCAGTCTTGGGTTTCATGCTTTCCCAGGACTATTTGCTTGCTTGCTTTGCACATGGGAAAAAATCTGTTGGGAAAGGATGGAGGTGGGGGGCCGGAAATGACCCAAGGAACTTCCTCTATGAATGGCCCAGTGCATCTTGCCTGTCTTCCAAATCCTGTGCCAGACAACTTTTCAGACTCTGCTGCCTGCTGGCTTTTGTTCAGGGCCAAGCATGTTATCAGCTCTTTAAATGTTGCAAGTATTCCGGTCAGAATTCTGGGGATCCCGTTCTTGCAGAGACTCTCCAGTTAACAACACTGTCTGCACCACGAGTTGGCAAATGGTAGAGGAAGCTAAAATGAGAGCCAGGAAGGCACCCTGGAAGATCTAGGTGTTTAGGAGGAGACTCCCCAACATACCTGCATCCCAGTGAAAAAGAGCAAGCACTGGCCATGTGGTTCTACAAAAAACTATCAAAGTTTTATTAAAAAATCATTGAAAGAAGCAGGACACCCATAAAGCCAGTGGCTGGAGACGACAGGGTCTTGAACACAGGTTTCTGCAGCTTGGGCAACAGACTGGAGAGGAATTCACTTAACATCTCATTCCCCCTCTTTCTCTCTCTCTTCCCCCCCACAGTGCACCAGAACCAGGGCAACACTTAGATCCCCAAGGAGTCCACCATAGGCATGTGGTTGGAAGGCAAATGTGTAGATGCTTGTTGGGGCTCTGCCTGGGATGATATTTCATTTGGTTTTTTGTTTCTTTGTGGCTCTGGCATCCTCACCAGCCTCTTCTTCTCCTAAGCAAAGCATCTGCAGCAGCGCAGGACACAATTTCTGTGCCACAGCCCAGGCCCAGAGACACATCTCCACCTGGTGAGGAGTCCACCCTCTCTCTGTGTCAACTGGAAAAGATTGCAAATTGAACCATTAAGCAATATGGCTGCAGCAGAACCAGATCTACCCACTCTCCAGGCCCCCGATGAGTTCTTGGGGAGACCTGTGGCCCAGAAAAGTGAGAGGTTGAGAGTGCAGAATAAAACCACACAGTCCCTCCATGCAGCTCTGCAGGCCAGAATTACCCCCTCTTCCCAAGCTCCCACGCAGCTCTGGAACGTACCTCCCTCCTGCTTCAAATGCCTGGTGTCAGCAGATTGCGGGGAGGGAAAGATCAAAAGCTGTTGTTGCTACACAGTTGTGCACAGCAAAAACATGGGCCTGCAGCCCCCTTCCCCCCAGCTGCTGCTTCCAGCCCTGTTCTGAAGGATAGGAAGGGCTTAAAAGGTAAAACCATCTCCCCTACACACAATACTTGGTGGCACAGGTAACCATGGCAGAAGCTACCATAGGTTTAAGCAACACGTTCTACAAGCTGGTAGAACAGACACAAGGCAAGGTGAAGAGAGATCGCACAGCAGCTGGTGCGATTCAGGCTCTGATGAGCAGGGACCTGCTGTGCCTGCAAGATGCACGTGTAAGAAACCAAGCAAATCTACTGCCTCCCCAGTAACTGAGAGACACAGAAACTTCAGGTATCAATTTGACACTTAAATAAATTTTCACTGGAGGATCTCAGTGGAGTGTGCAGTGGCAGGGGAGTGTTATCTTCATTGTACAGATAGGGAAGGTGAAGCAGAGACCAAGGGGCTTGCCCAATGCCAGAAAAGCAGCAAGGGAGATGAGGAGGAAACCCGACTCCCAGCTCTGGGTATGAACTACTTTGTCCAGTAACTACTTTGTCCAACAACCTTGCCGCAAGCGCTGCAGTTCTACTGGCTTTTCAAGACAAGACCTTTAAAACAGAGATGCAGCAAACACCTTCCCCCTCCCTCCACAGGCCCTACTGAAGTGTGGCCCCCACCCCTCACCTTCATTTAGTTTCTTGGTACAGAGCTGGATCCCGTCCAGGTAGCGGATGTAGTGCTTGAGGGAATACTTAATGGGGGTGAGGCCTGGGATGGACTCCACTGCTTCATCTGCCATAAAAGCCACAACCTCAGGGGCTCCTGCTGCCAGGATTGCTGAAATGGAAAGATGGGGGAGTGTGCAGCAGAGGAACTGGACAGGCTGGGGGGCAGCAGGAGATGCCATATCTTTCATCACAGCAGATCTCCACTTTCTTAGGGCCTTTGCGCTGGCTCTTGGATGCCTGCCAGGGCAAGCTGGTACATCACAGAACCTGAAGCCAGACCAAGAGGACTTGTGCACACTGGCACTCCCAGGAGAGATGGGACTGGATCAGTGCAGGGTTCAAGCAGAGGTTTGCCCTTGGGTGGCTGGAGTTACCTCTGCTTCCACACAGATGGGTGTCTATCTATCAGCTCATCACAGCAGGAAATGCACCATGCCAGTGACTCAACCATCCCAGCTGGCACCTTCTCATGCAGGCTTCCACACCCTCCACCTATACTTTCTGCTGCCCTCAGTGCTCAGCACCTCTTCAAGGTTTTGGTTTCAACAGGCCGCTAGCAACTAGTTTGGCTGCCTGCAAGACTGGGAAGAACCAGTGGCTTTCACCTTGTGCACAGGGTTGGGATCTAGGGCCACTGCTGTTTCCCAGGAGCTGTGAGTGTCAGCATCTTGCATCCCACTATGCAAGCAGCAGTGCATGGGTGTTTGGGTGAAAGTGCTGACAAACCTGGGCTGTTCTTTCACTTACAGCTTGGTCAATCCATGGTTCCACCCCCTTATCTCTTCCCCATCCCCCACTGACCTCCCTTAGTCCATACCTGAAGCTGTGGCTGGTCCTACAGCTTTTAGCTGGCTGAGCTCAGTTATGGCAGCTGCCACATCTGGGAGGAGCTGAAAAGCTTTCCTTGTACAGCGCTCCACTGTCTCCTGGGAGTTAGTTGCCACCAGCTGCTGCAGACGAGGACGGAACTTCCCCCGCTAGAGGGGAGAAGAGAAGGCAGCAAGGTGAGCCCCCTGCATCTGGAGACTTAGCTGTGCAGGTGACTACAGCTCATTGCTTGTGACCCCAGCCACTGAAAGGGGCAATACTCTTACTAGATTATTAGAGGGGATACAACTCCGAGGCCATGAGTTCTTTGCCAACCCTTTGAAAAAAAAAAAAGTGATTCCTTCCTGGTATATTTCTGTTCAGCTGTAGTCCCCAGACTATGCTCTACAGACCCCCTGAGATCCACCACGCCCTAAAGATGAGACTCTGAGGTCAAAGAGAAGATAGCCCAAGAGATCTTTGCCTAAAGCAATAGTGTCCAGCTCTCCTGGGCTCATCCTAAAGCCACATCCAGACCACAGGGCTCCTTGTGGGCTGGATCCAGACCCACCTCTGGCAACAGGGGAAGTGGCAGTGGTGTGAACTGCTGTGGTTTCCTGGGTGTTTGTGTTGGCTCAAGGAGCCAAGAGGAATAACAGTCTTTGCTTTCCCTGCTGCCACTGAACTAGCAACAAGGCTCTGTGCCCTGGTATTCAGCAATGGGCCCACCCCCACTCACCCCAACCCCTCTAAGAGCCTTGTGGGCTGGGTGACAGCTCCAAGGGCCTGACCTGGCCTGCAGGCTGGGTCTTTGACACCCCTGTACTAAGGAATAGGAAGTTGGGTAACCAATTTGGAAAATGCAAAGTAGTTTGAGGCTGAGCACAGTGTGCCTGGAAGAAAGTTTACTTGTTCACAACCCTTGTGTATCTTTTCCAGCTACTACACCACCCCCTTACTCTGCATCTCCTCTGGGACTTTACCTTCCTTTCCTCGCTTTCCCAAGTAGACAACAGCTTTGCCTTCACGGCTCTGTCCTATTACCATGACACTCCTATCTCAGTGCAGTTCATCTACCTTCTCCTCCTTTCTCCCAAATGTTCTTAGTGATTAAGCCAGCCTGCTGCTTTCACCCTGCCCAGCTATAATTGGACCAACCGCTCCATTCCAGTGGATTCAAAGCCAAGAAAATAATTCAATTATAAGCTCATTGATGCAGATAATCTCTCTGTGCGCTCAAAGAGCTGTGGGCAGTACTAATACTGTGTAAAAACGAGTTAATGAATAATAATTCCCCTGGAATTCCCATCACAGGCCTGTGGAGCTAGTGGGAGGAAACTGACCAAGCTGTGTGAAATGCAACAGGTTAGGATTTATCTACACTCAAACTGGTTTGCTGCTATAACATGACTGGCATGGCTGGGCTGCTAAATCCCCTACTGGAGATGCAGCCATTGGATCCTTTAAACTGTTGTGTTAGGACAGCTCACACTAGTTCCCCAAGTGGAACAGACTATCCCAGAAAAACTCTGCTTTGCCAGCATGACTGTATCTGCATTCAGGCTTCAGATGCGTAAGCTGGGCAGTAACTAGGTGAGCTAAGGACAGAGCTCCATCATGCTCCTAACTAAATTTGTGCTGCTAGCAAAGGTGTTTACATGGAGACAGAATCAAAAAGAAGCATGAAATTTCTAGAGATGAGGCTACTGACTCCTCAGGCCCAGCTTACCACAGCCTGTCTGCAGCTGAATGCAACTTAGAGCAACCCCAAGGCTGTTGCAGGTTGAACCAGGGTTCAGACTGGTTCATTGATTAACAAGTCACAAAGATGACATAAAACTGCTCCTCAACCTCTCCCCTGGGCCAGAGGCTATGGCCCATGATTTCTGTCTCAACCGTAGAAACTAAGCACAACAGTTACCAATTTAAATAGATGTCATACTGCTGGCGAACACGTGCTCCCGAGCGGAAGCAAACACTCAATAGCCTGCAGAGGTTGGATCTCCCAGCAACTGGAAGTGATGTCACAGCCCGTGGGGGGCCAAGACCCCCATCCCAGCAGTGCATCCACTCCGATTATAGTGCTGAGACGCTGCACGGGGCCATTCAGCTGGGGAGTGACTCACGGTGAGTTTCCACTGCATCAGCTTCACCACTTCGCCCTGGGTCAAATACTTTTCTGTCCGTCCTGCGAGAGCAACCGGTAACTCCTCCTGATACCTGAAACAGAGCCCAGAGCGGGCAGGACTCGCCGCCGCCGCCTGCACCCGGCCCCCTGCTCGCGCTGCCGGTCCCCGCGGGGCGGGGCACTGCGGCCCCTCGAGTCACCGGAGCCTGGGGCTTCCACTGGCGGCAGCTGCGGGTGGCCCGAGCTGCGGCCCCCGCGCAGAGGCTCTGCAGCGGGACATGAGCTGCGCGGACGCCGTCGCATTTACCATTTCTCCAGCCTGGCGAGGCCTTTCCGCTCGCTCCCCTTAGCTTCGACCACCGCCCAGTGCAGGTCGCGCATTCGTCTCCAGCACATGGGGTCTTGGCAGCCGTAGAGACCTCCCTTCCCCACCATGTCTGTGAGGGCCTCCTCGCCTCCCCCGCGCCCCAACGGCCCCCACTCTCCACCAGCACGCGCCACGCGTCTCGCACCAGCTTCCCAGCGTCCCCTACGGCAGCCTCAGCCGCGCCCCCTCATGTGACCCCCTGCAGGCCACGCCCCCTTCCCGGAAGTTCCGGCGGGCGGGGCGGGGCCGTAGCTGTGGCCGGCGCTGTCGGTGTCGCAGCCGCAGCTCAGGGCCGCGCCAGGCCGGGCGGGGGGGATGAAGGGCAAGGAGGA